GGCCCCGCCTTCCCTTTTCCAAGTTTCTTCAGTTATTTCAAATGAGTATTTCAGAGCACATCCATTGGTTAGCCATAGTGTGGCAGTCTAAACTACACAGTTAGCAAATTTGACTGCCCAAGCTTGCCAAAGATAGAGTTCAGGATTTCTGCAGCAGGGCGAGAGAAAAAATGTTTGCTTTTTTGCCTTTTTTTAAAGAAAACCTTAAATGTATCTTTGCATGGTCCTATTATAGGGCAAAAAAAAAGAACAGCTGTAGAAGATTACCAGAAACAGAAGAGAAATAGAAGGACTCCAGACTAAGCATCTTTGCCTGTATTTACTGTTCAAAGTTCTGGCACTTTGGCTTGTGACGATATTTTGGGTTTTTCCTTTGTAAAAGAATTTCACATACATGACAGTTTGGTTTTCAGTACAGGGCATGACACCACCACAGGGATCCAATTCCATTTTGAACTGAGCCACCAGAAAAAAAAACAGGCAGTCAATTGAAACAAAAACACGCCACCGCATCTTTTAAAGATTCACACATCTCATCAGTCATTTCCTCACGAGACGGACGCTGGAGACGAGAAGCTGACCCCACCGAGATCGCATGCAGAAGCCTAGTGACTTCAGCAAGCCTAATGTCGTCTTTTACAGGCTTTCAGCAAACAGGAAAAACTTGTTATTTCTTGGTAGAAGTGAAACATGTCCTCTTCCACTCCTACTCTAACCCGTAAAACCAATTCAGCTTTTAAGGATCTGACAATTTTTAATAAAAGGTTACTTAGCAAGAGGCATTCTCTGCCTCCCAGCACCCGGGACGACAGCAGCGGGAGCAAGGCTGCACGCCGCAGGTCATCGTGCCCCCGCTGATGACATTAGAGACGTTGGGACTACCTCGGCTGCAGGCGAGCGCACGGGGCTCTGCTCCGTCACCGCACTGGCCAGGGCTGCCCTGGGCACCCGCACCGCAGCAGAACCGGGCAGGTTCAGCCCCAGGACACAGCCCCGCGTTCAGCCCACCTCTGCTGTGCGTCAGCCGCAGCACCCGGGCGCCAGAGCTGGCTGTGCGTCTCGCAAGCGGGGACACTCTGGGTTCCTCTTGGCACTGCCTTTGTCAAAGCCAGACCTCTGCTAACAGGAGACGGAGAACTGGCAGCTGGCTGAGACAAAAAAATCCTTCCTTGTGTTTTACGGTGGTTGCATCAAGGATGAATTTAGCCCAAAGTCAACATTTGTTTAAACATCTTGTCCTGCTGAGAACATTCACAAACCCATGGGGGTTTGTGCCAAGGAAATGCCCTGCACTACACAGCTGCTCACTTCTATCGTTAATGTTTAAACACACCCGGCCAAAACAAATATAATGGAGCCAGCTCTATTCTTCACCTTGGCATTCACAAAAACCAGTCACAGCTAGAGGGCAAGAGCCCGGCATCAGCTTGTAATAAAGATTAGAATTCATCCCGATTTCTGTGCCACTGTTCAAAGGGAAACGCCAACAAAAAAGCACAGTTTTGATGCACAGTTTGGAGCTTGGGTCTGAGAGACAACAGCGCTCAGAAAGAAAATTAAGCAGGATGCTGTTTTGCTAGGAGCAGATGCAACACGGAAACACTGTTTACCTGCCATTAAGCCAGCTTTCTGCCGCGGCAAAACATTTTCATTTTAAAGCCTACTTAAAAGTCTAATGATTGCTGCACTACTAGGCCAAAAGCCGTACCGCACCAGGCAGCGACGCAGAGGTTAGTGTTCTGCAAGGACAGAAAACCAGAATTCATTTCTACGGATGCGGCTGTTCTTCCGAACAGACC